CTAATTTTACTGTCACCATCTCTTTAATTCACACCCAAGTGAACTCACAAACAGGTGTGCCAAAAGGTTCCTCATTTTTCTTCAAGGCGAGGAAAAATGAAAGGTGGTGTTGGGTAACGATGATTGAAAAACAAACCGAAAATATAATAATAACAACATATAAAACAATACCATGTTAACGGTTTCTCAATCCCCAAATAATAAGAAAAAAAAGGAACTCATACCTAGTTCACTATTGCACATCTACAAAAATAAAAATAATACTTCATGCTGTTTGGTGTATTCACATGTTCCCACTTTACCATCATTCTCAGTGGTTGACACTACTGTGATACCGATGTTTACACCATACAACAGTAATTAAAAAAGAAATAAAATATATAATTTATTGTCATTTTTTTTTTCCTTTTTTGAAAGCTTGCGATAAGAATGGCAAAGCCTTACTTTTTGGAACTACAGATTTATGGGTTTTGGTAAACCAAATTTTACTTCTTTTATCTTTACAGTCTGCCTAACAGTAAGTTTCTGAAAAGCCTACCTAACCCAACCCACTCCGCCCCGAGCGGGAAGCGGGCTAAAAGGGCTTCTCAGCACTTCCATTTCGTTAGTTTCTGTTATGTATTAGCAATCATCATCGGGAAAAATTTGATAGAGATATGTAAATAATGCATCAAAACTTGTATGAACAATCATGGAAACAAAATATTTTTTCTCTTGTGTTTTTATTTCTTTAAAGAGGGAGTAAGGCTAGGGTATTCTTTTTTTTTAAGAGGTTTTGAAAAAAAAAAAAAAGAGAAAATCCTTTGACCTCTCGCGTCTCGGTCTCTTGTCCTGGGTTGGGGGCGGTTGTTTGCCCCGCGTTTTTCCCACCCGCGCCAACGCCGCCACCGCCGACCGCCGCTTTTGCTAACCCCTTTGGCGGGCGGGAAGGGCGTCCCGTGGGGTGGGTCGGCGCGTGCGTCTCTTTTTTTTTTCGTGGGGGCGCCGTCGGGCGGTTTCGTCGCGGCTGCCGTTCGGGGAAGGCCCGCCCCCGACGGGCACGGCAGGGGGAGAAGTTCTTTCGTCGCCACGGTCGTTTTCCCGTTGTTTTTTTTTTTTTTTTT